TCATTTCTTTTCACTTAGTAAAATAACAATGATAACAGCTATCGTTCATTGAAGGTTTATCACATGCTGGACATTGGGCTATGTATGGTCTTTACAGTTATTATCTCAGTCTTTTTACAACCTATGCAGCATGGACTATTATTCCAACTTCAAGGATAAAGCTTTAGAGAGGTGAAGTAAACGCAGATCTTCTCAATTACAAAGCCCTTTTACCTCTGCTTTCAGAAGATCCTACCAAACTAAGAGAGGAGTTGGAAAGACCAGTGACCACTCACAACCCCACTCACAGAGACCTAGATTGGCTGTTAAGGGGTATTCTTCCCACACATGATTATACCGTAGTTAGCCGGCAAGCCAGGCGGGCCCCTGGGAAAAAAACCCTCACAGAGGAATCAGACAGCCAGAATCTCTCCCAGGCCCTCCTACAAATGACTCGGAAATGGTTCAAAAGAGGCTGATATTCAGAGGCTGATAGAGCAATTGTAGAGCTTTCCCCCCTAAGGTGAATTGGTCCAAGGTTGAATATGCACTCAGAAATAAGGCCTTTGTTTAAAACACCTTAGACAGACTTTTTCAGTCTATTAAACCCTGAAGCTCTCTAATGTAGAAATCTTTTGATCTCCATCTCAGTAGGAAATCACCCTTATACAAAGCAGCAAGTTTAGTTGGATGGGTGGGTCAGTCTCTTGACATTCAGGTTACAACCCAATTCTCTGAAATAGAAAACAATTGTCTTTGTCTTGCAAATCTCTACAAAACCAGAAATGTGGCTCTAGAAACAACTCAAAGTCCACCTAACCTTATCAATCCCCAAATCTCCCCTTTCCATCTTAAAATACTTGTAGATATTGGGATTTCAGAAACAGAGTTGTACTGCACTTAAGAAAAAGAAGGACAATTTTAAATAGTAATTACTCTAGACCTCTAATAATAGGCAAATATACCCCAAAACTCCTTGGAGAAAACTTGAGTACTTTCTCTGTGCCTTCTTTTTTTTTTTTTTATAAATTTATTTATTTTTGGCTGTGTTGGGTCTTCGTTTCTGTGCGAGGGCTTTCTCTAGTTGTGGCAAGTGGGGGCCACTCTTCATCGCGGTGCGCGGGACTCTCACTGTCGCGGCCTCTCTTGTTGCAGAGCACAGGCTCCAGACGCGCAGGCTCAGTAGTTGTGGCTCACGGGCCCAGTTGCTCCGCGGCATGTGGGAATCTTCCCGGACCGGGGCACGAACCCGTGTCCCTTGCATCGGCAGACGGACTCTCAACCACTGCGCCACCAGGGAAGCCCCCTAAGCCTTCTTTATGTTGTATTTGTATAGGTATATAAGCATTCCAGAAATTGTATGAAATTCCTAAAATTCTGATATGTCTGGTATAATGTTAATCAGTCATAATTCTAGTAATTACCTTAATAATAACTAGAATGTTGTCTGTTACAGAGATAACCAAATTTCTTTGTCAATCGCATTGTAATGAACTCTAATCAGATCTTTAACCATGGCCACTTTTAAGTCTTTGTCATTTACAGAAGTTACTGTTTTACTCTGATGCTTTTGCAGAAGTGTTTGCAAGTGTGCTTCACCTTCAAGGAGATTCATGGAAAGGATGCTGGCAAGCACAGATTTCTGATAACTTTAAGATCATAAAAATGAACTGAGTAAGAATCTCCAGAACTGATGAAAAAACTGGATTTAAGCAGAACAAGAATTAATAACAGACTGAACGAACTGATGATGATGATTATAATTTTATGACTTTTTGCCTGAAACACTGTTGGCTCTTTAATGTTTTGTTTTTCCAGATTAAGTTCTTTAATATTAAGGAAACTTTTTCTCTTAAGCTACCTATGACTTAGAGCAATTTGATAAAGTGTACCTTTGTGAATAAGGATGAAACAATTACTTTTTCTCCCTACCTGATCCCTTCAGAATTTGGAAGCTTAGTGAATGTTCTTTATGACAAAATATTTATTTGCATAAGTTAATAAGAATCTATTCTTCTTGTAACAGGGCACAAATGGAAACATTTGTTATATTATCAAAGCTTTGGTTGGAATGTCAGATTTGAGAAGATTCAGATATGACAAGACAGTTTTAAATAATTAAGGCTGAGTTTATAGAGTCAATAAAACCCCTTGGAAAAACAGCCTGGTACCTTGCTTTCAGGGTTCCTGACAGTCTTACCAGGTTAGTAAGGAAAGTCCCTTCCTGGCAGGTACAGGATACTTGGGGGGCCTCAAGAAGAGAGGAATCAACCCAATTCTATAAGCATTAAGGCAAAGTCTGATGGAAAGTCTTTGGCTTGGCTTCCTGACCTCTAGATGCTTTTTAAAAGTTCAATCTGGGGCTTCCCTGGTGGCGCAGTGGTTGAGAGTCCGCCTGCTGATGCAGGGGACACGGGTTCGTGCCCCGGTCCGGGAAGATCCCACATGCCACGGAGCGGCTAGGCCCATGAGCCATGGCCGCTGGGCCTGCACATCCGGAGCCTGTGCTCCGCAACACGAGAGGCCACAACAGTGAGAGGCCCGTGTACCACAAAAAAAAAAAAAAAAGTTCAATCTGAAATTCTTTATGAAAAGCCAGCAAAGAATATTTAAAAGACCCTATATGGTCAATTGCTATTCTTGCTGTGCTTGCACAAATAATCGGGACAAGTTTATTGAAACTAGACCTATTTTGTGAACAAATTAGTCTTCATTTAGCTATCTTTGATAGAAATAAGGGTGATTTTAGAAAAATTATGTTTCAGTAGAAACTATAATACACACTTGTAGATAAGATTCTAGTTCTGTTAATTGTCTCTGAGGTTTTGTTTTCTACCGTAAACTGGACTGGATCCTAAATTCTAGTTTCCTCAAATATCCGGCTACAAATCTCCAAACTAATGTTTCCAATTTTCTCCCACCTTTTTGACTTGGAATCACTAAAAACAAAAGCTACCCTTTTCCCTGAAACCCTGCAAACTGAATGTGAATGGCTTGATATAAACTTCAGAGAAATCACCATAACAGCTCATATTTAGACATCGTTTGTGCCTGTTGCTATGTGGGCCACTCAGAAAGTGTAACTGAACACCTGATGACATCATCAGAGACACTCAAACTGCAAAAGATGTTTCAACCCTAACATATAGAAAATCTTCTTGACTGGCTGCCTCCTGGGCTCAGAAAGTGGTTTAGAGTCTTCTCCAACCATTAAGCTTTGGTTTTCTTGTTTCCATAGAAATGCCTCTTAATAAATACCTGACCACTGGCACTATCTAGACCTAACTCTGGGAGCACACCTGCAAGACCACCTCCTGAAATGAGACACAACTGTTTAACTAAGCTGACCTATTCTCACTACTGAGACAGGTTCAATGAGATATGGAGCAATTTGTCAACTCAGCGTCTGGACTATGAAACTTGTTTGAAGTTTCAAAGGTGGGATGAAGGGGGGCAGAATTTGTCACCCCAAGATATGCCTCTTCAGTATAAGGATTATTTTAAGGTGGTTATTTTTAAGAAACTGCAGACATAGGGGGAAGCTCTAAAAATGGAGATTTTTGCAGGAGACATTTACATGTATGGGGGAAATCTCTTGTTTGTAAGGGTGTCTTCCTCACTGTACCAGGAATGGTAGATAAGGTAGACAAGATAAGATGACCTTATCTCTAGAAACTCTTATCAATGTAGAAAACAATTATTTAAATCTGAATAATGACGTTACTCTTGTTTACTGTGCTTTTCCTGATAACCTCCTATAACTAACTCCTCAACCCCAACATTTTCTTTTGTCTTTAGCTGAAGATGGTATTTAGGGTGACAGCTTCAGCCATTTGGGGGAGTTACTCTATTTTCCTGGGTATCTCCCATGTATACAGGAGGCATACATATAATTAAATTTGTTTTTCTCCTGTTAATCTTTTTATTACAGGGGTGTCTCAGTCAAGAACCTAGAAGGGTTCCTTCCCTAGAAGGGAAAATTATTTTTCCATCCCCACAATAACATCCTTTGACAATCTAAACAGAGAACACTATGACACCAGAAAGTGATGGCTCTAATTTTTGTTCTATTTTTGAGCAGCCTTTTTAGTTCTGCGATCATTTAAAATGAAGTGTTTAAGTTTATATGTTTGAGTGAGAATGCTTCTAGATGGGACTGTACAGCTCTCAAAGTCCTTTCACACTCTTTTCTCAGATGATCTTCACAAAGCTGTGGGTTAGGTAGGACAGGGGTTATTACACCTGATTAATAGATGAGGAAACCAAGGCTTTAAGATCTGCTAGAAACTACACAGCCAGGACTCAAGCCCAGGTCCGCTAACACCGTATCTGCGCTCTTCCCTCTCCACTCTGTGGCTCTAAACTGAAGGTGCACAGAAATCTATTCACTGACCCATCGTGCCCGCTGCCTACAAATTAGGTAAACCATGCCCTCCTCCCGGTTCCATGAATCACCATAGCAAAGAAGACAGTTGCCAGGTTTTGCAAAAAACTAAAAATAGAACTACCACGTGACCCAGCAATTCCACTCCTGGATATATATCAGAAAATAACAAAAACAGTTATTTGAAAAAGATACATGCACCCCAATGTTCATAGCAGCACTATTCATAATAGCTAAGATACGGAAGCAACCTGAGTGTCCATCAACAGATGAATGGATAAAGAAGATGTGGAACATATGTACAATAGAATACTATTCAGCCATAAAAAGAACGAAATTTTGCCATTTGCAACAACATGGATGGATTTGGAGGGTATTCACTTAAAAATTGTGAATCATTGTACACCTGTAACTAATACTGTACCTCAACTATACATCAATTAAAATTTTTTTAATTAAAAAAAAGGGGGAACTCCCTGGCGGTACAGTGGTTAGGACTCGGTGCTCTCACTGGCAGGGGCCCAGGTTCAATCCCTGGTCAGGGCATATGGCCAAAAGAAAAAGAAGAATACAGTTGCCAGGAACATACAGTTGTTGTCCAGCATGACTTGTCTCAAGCCTGACCCTGATAACTCACCTTGCGTTTGAGGAAAGCATCTTGGTAGAAAAGCACTGCCTGCAGCTCTAGTGAGCAATCTGCTTCTCTGGATTGTTTTTGGGCTTCTCTTGCCTCTTGGTGATGACTGCTTCTGATATTCTGACGTTCTGCCCAGAGCCCAAAAGTAAAACTTCAGCAAAAGGCAAACATCCAGTCAAATATTTACCAGAGAAATGAGAGCAAGTGGGTGGCCTTCTTCCTTGTCTAGGAACAATACTGGCTATTCTTCCGCTCGACCGCCCTTCCCGTGCTTTCTCATGCAGAAGCAGGAACTGCCCTTCTAGTTCCTCTCTCCAGGACTCTTGCTGTCTCTTTTAGCCCTCACTGGCTGTGGGCACTGGCTCCTTGAGCTACTGGAGCTTTGCCCAGAAGTTGAGGCCTCTTCGGCTAGCTGTAAGAATTATTACAGGCAATAAAGTAGGACTCTGCCTCAAGGCAATAAACTAGGAAACTAGCACCACTGGCTTCAAGATTCTCCTTGGAAACAAGACAATTTGCTGGGACAAGTGGCTGGAGACAAGTTCAAAACTGAACCCCACCCATGTGGCAGAACCGGGGCTAGCTGTCCACAAGGAATTCCTGCTCCCTTGCCATAAAGTGAAGCTGTTGCTGGCAAGGACCTGCCCAGCCAGGGGGCATACTCCCCAGCCCACCCAGGAGTCTAGGAATAAACACAGGATCAAGGCTACCAATGGGATGTGAGCAGAAGTGATGTGTGTTACTTCTGGGCTAAGACAGTTAAGAAGCAAGTGTGTTTTTTCTACCCTCTCCTTCCCACACCTGCTGGTTTAGGACCCAAAGGTCCTAAAGGAATGGGATGGGAAGGAGCCTGAGTCCCTGAATCACCATGTAGAGGAAGCTGTCCTCTACACCAACTGTCCATAAGCAAGAAATAAAGGTCTATTGTAATAAGTCAATGAAGTGCCAGCTTATTTGTTACAGCAGCTAGTGTTGTCCTAGCTAACATAGCGCAGAACGTGGAGGACTTGTAAGCATCATATGGTCCAAGTTCTTGATTTTAAGGATAAGAAGATGGAGGCTTAAGGAAGGGAAGTACACTAAGAGGACTAGCCTTAGAAAGCCTGCCATGTCCACAGAGCTGTGCCAAGGGTGTGAGCATCCATACTGGTGCCATGCAATTCTGTGCCCCAGAGCACTGCTCATTAGACCAAAGCTGAGTGCCTGACCCAAGGGCAGCCCGTCATAAACCATATCAATCTGCCATCTGTGATGGACATTCTGTCCAACAGGTCATCTCGTTCAGGAGTCTGACCTTGAGACACAGAACAAGAACTAAACACTCATCAGTGGGACCGAGAACCAAATAACACCCAGAGAGATGCAGGAAGCTAAGGAATGGTCAAGTCCTGATCAGGGCAGAGCATGACTCTTGCTGCTGAGAAGTGTGTTAAGATTTCCCAGTTACTAGAATGGCCCATGGATTCTAAATGGCCACCCTGCTCCCAAATGATCATCCAGAGCCAAATGGGAACTAGACCCCAGGTGTTCTTGTCTGTTGATTCACCGCATCCATCAGCTGCCAGGCCAGTTAATGGCAACATCACACTCCTATCACCCATGAGTTGTCTGTGGCTCCTCCCCTTCTCTCACCTCATTCGTTCTGCCTCCTGGTGGCTCTTACCCATCCCTTGGATGTCAGAGGGCTCATTCCTCTTTTCCCTTCTGCCAGCCTGGAGGTGGTGTTCAGAATGGTGGAGCCACAACATGGAAAGAGCCTGGGTCCCTGAATCAACACTTGAGGAGACTAGGAATAGCCATTTGAGAGTTTACACAAATAAGGAATAAACTTCTATTATGTAAGAGCCATTATATGCTTTGGAGTTTGTTTGTTAGAGCAGCTAGTCCTTATCCTCACCACTACAACTTACTTTCCATTCACACTGCTACTGCCGCAGTTGCAGCCCTCACCACCTCCTGCCTGGACCAACACAAGTGCTCTCTAACAGCCCTGCAGCCCCCAGTCTCCATGCCTAGTGCAGACACGCATCTCCCTAAAGCACAGCTCAGACCTGCCAAACATCCTCCATGGTCTGCTCTCCCAACCCTGGCTTTCCAAACCCTCCAAGAAGTTGCTTCAACCCTCTTTTCCAGCCTCATCTCCACTGGTTTCCAAGTATATATATTTTTCAAAGTTGCTTATCCATCCCTAAACATGGCCTTTCATGTTACTCTGGCTCTTTAGGGAACAAGGAACAGAGATCCACTCGAGTTGCCTGGAGCTAAAGGGGTTTCCAATTCCTCTCCTGCAAGGGCTGGGGCCCAACCAGGGAAGGCGTTGGAGACTGAAGCCACTCTTGGGAAAGGTTCCTCCCCTCTGTGGCCAAGTGGTCTTTCTCTTGTCTCTCTCCTGTTTTGGCCTTTTTCTTCAATCTTTCTCTGACTCAGCCCCTTTGCTTCCTTAGGGTTTCTGCTCTCTTGGGGTTTTAACTCACCACCATCCTGACTTTAGTTCATAGAATCCTTTCAACCTCTACCCCCAAAGTCCACTGGCTCCTTCCCAGGGTTCCCCAGTTATAACTGCTAAGACAAAAGATCTGCCCCAGTTCATCTTTTTCCTAGGTGGTCACAGCCAGTCTATGCCTTCCTGTCTTTGGCTTAGTCCTACACCCCTCGTATAAGTTTGCTAGGACCCCCATAACAAAATACCACGTACTGGGTGGTTTAAACCAGAACTTTATTTTCTCACAGTTCCAGAAGCTGGAAGTCCAAGATCAAGATGTCTGCAAGTGTGGTTTCTCCTGAGGCCTCTCCTTGGCTTACAGATGGCTGCCCTCTCGCTGTGTCCTCACGTGGTCTTTCCTCTGTGCACCTGCACCCTAGTATCTCTATGTCCCAATCTCTTCTTATAAGGACACCAATCAGATTGCATCAGGCTGCCCCAATGGCCTTGTTGTAACTTAATTGCCTCTTAAAGGCCCTGTCTCCCAATAAAGTCACATTCTAAGGTACTGGAGGTTAGGGCTTCAACATATGAATTTGGGAGGGGACACAATTCAGTCCATAACACCCCTGGTCTAATCAGCTCTGATGGAGTGGGAGGGGGTCCTGGAGGCAGTGAATAGGCACCATAACCGACAATTCAGGCCATCTGTGTTCACTCACCTTGATCCCTTTACTCCTGCCTAGAACAGGGCCTCCCACCTGCTTATCACCATGGTTTTTTGTTCATTAAGTCCCACCTCAAACATAATATCTGGCATAATATCCTGATCACCATGGTGTAATCTTATTTCTCTTGGCTTGGCCTACATCTCTTTTATGGCACATATTTAGGCCTTCTTTATTCGTCCATTTAGCACAGATTTGTGGAGAAGCAGCCTGGGGCAGTGGTACAGAGTGTGGACTTTGGGGCCAACTCCACCACTTACCAGCTGTAATTCTGGCCACGTTATGTTGTTAACCCCTCTGATCCTCGGTCTTATCTGAGACAAGCTACACCTACTTCGTGACAGATGAGGTTGAAACGAGCTAATATAAAATGCTCAGGAGGGTGCCTGACACACAGCAAGCCCTCAACGAACATGAGCAATTAGAGGGCGCCTGCTCTCTGCCGGGTGCCAACTGGAAAGTGGAGCAGACGGTCACATCCCAGTTAATTGTGCCCAAGTCCCAGTCCCCCTATTAGATCACGGTAGCTTGGAAGCCAGGACTAGACCTGATTTGCCATGACGCATGGGAGACAGGGGAGGCCCCACAAATGCTTGTTTTCAAAATTGAAAATGATGAAGGAAAAACGAAAAAGACAGAGAAATACAAGGATCAGTACAGCATAACTCTCTTACTGGACACCTGCAGACAAAGAAACACTGTCAATGTGTTTCCTCCGAAACCACGCCCTCTCCTTCCCAGAAGCAGCATCCAAGTCACATCATTCAGAGAAAAGAATTGTAAAGCTCTCGTCCTTCAGGCACATGGAGACGCTCTCTCTCCTGTGAGTGCTCATCTGCCAGGTGCTCCCTGGCTCCATGGCCCAGGCTTCGAATGGATATCTTAAATTCTTGGATTCTCCTGGTTACTTCCGTCACAATTCTACAATTCCTCTCTTCACATCATTAAGGAAGAGTCACTATTGAACTGCCACTGACTACCCAGGGGAGTTAGTAAGACAGCCATGTTAAAGTGGGAGAAAAGCCAAGACTCTTGTTCTAAAATGCTTAAGTTCAGCACAGTTTCAGTCACAGTAATAAGGAACCATTTCTAAGTGGCTACCACGCTCCAGACATGGCCTCTTTGAACCTGGAGACAACCCCGTGTAATCCATTTCAATTTCCCCCTCATGCTTTCTCATTTTAGTGCCGAGTCTAAATGCAGAACCTGACATGTGTCTGTAGGACAGCTCAACATTTGATTGCTCTCTGCCATTCTAACCTCTGCAAGCCTTTTTGAATACTGCTTCTTCTATCCAATGTACACTAATTCCTTTCTGAAGTACTGGGGCACTTGAACACTTTCGCTGAGTTCATCCAGGTTATTGGTAAAAACATTTAATAGAACAGAGCCCTAAGCACTCTGCTAGAGACCTCTTTCCGGGAGCCATGTAATGGTGCTGCAGTTGGCAGAACGTGAGGAAAGAGATGACTACACGAGAACCCAGGTTAGGAAGACTTACTCCATTCAAGCCCTGTGTTTATCAGGGTCCGGGGTTCTGGAGACATGACACAAGGAAATTCAGCAGTGCATCACAAAGGCCATGCTCGTTTCCGAGTGTTGGGAGCTTATCACAGGACAGCCTCTATTTATTCTATAGACATATGGCTTAATTATTTAATTTAGAAAAAAAGAACCAAAATATCTGGAAGACCTAGGGCAGGGCAATTTCTTCCTTAAGTAATATCAATGGGTATGACCCTTGACTAGGGACAATATTTCCCACTTTGAAAAAGAATGAAACTATCCTATATTCCCATCCTGCCCCTCCTCTGTCACAAACAGGTCTGGCTCCCCCTGCTAGCAGAAGAAAGACAAACTCCTTCTCTGGGAGAACGTTCAGTGACCTTTGTGACCTGGCCCCAATTTATCTTTCCAGACTTGACTCAGCTCTGGAGAAGTCCACAAGATATCTGACTGACCTC